CTGGGGCCCTCTTGGGGCCGTCTTGGGGGCCTCTCATCTTGGAGGCCTCGTGGGCGATCTTGGGGGCCCCTTGGGCCGTCTTGAGCCGTCGGAATGCCGACCAGAAACAAATCCCAAAATCTTCCAAAAACCAATTGACAATCAATGATTTGTGCCTCTTCCTGCCCCCCTGGAAAAACCTCCTGGGCGCCTTTTTGGGCCGTTTTGGAAGTATCTTGGGGCCTCTTGGGCCGTCTTGCGCCATCTTGAGGCCATTATAGGACGTCTTGGGTGCATCTTGGGCCGTCTTGGAGGCATCGTGGGGCCATCTTAGCCGTCTTGGAGGCCATTTTGGCTGTCCTGGAGGCCCCTGGGACCGTCTTGGGGTCCTCTTGGGCCGTCATGGGGCCATCTTGGAGGCCTCGTGTGCGATCTTGGGTGCCTCTTGGGCCGTCTTGAGCAGTCGCAGTGCCGAAAATAAGCAAATCCCAACATTTGTCAAAAACCTAAGGAAAATCCCTGAGTTTGGCCTTTCCGGGCCCTCCTGGAGGACCTCTTGGAGGCCTCTTGGGCCGTCTTGGAGTCCTTTTGGGGGCTTCTTGGGCCGCCTTCGGCCATCTGGAGGCCATCTCAGGCCGTATTGGGTGCATCTTGGGCCGTCTTGGAGGCATCTTGGGGCCATCTTAGCCGTCGTGGAGGCCGTCTTGGGGCCGTTTTGGGGCCCTCTTGGGGGGCCCTGGACGGCCTCTTGGGATCATCTTGAAGGTTATCGATTAAAGGAGGAGCGGGGAAGCGGGGATAACGTTCAGCACCCCCCCCAAAAGATGCCAACATGGGGCCAAAACCTCACATAATTCAACACATGATTTTGGCGCCCACAGGGCTGGTGGATATGTTCAGCCCCCCCCCCCCAAAAGATGCCAAACTGGGGCTAACACCTAAGTAAAACCAATGAATTTGGCGCCCAGAGGGCTGGTGGGACATTTTTCGCCCCCCCCCCCCCACCCCCAAAAGAGGCCAACATGGGTTCAACACCTTCGTAGAACCAGCAATTTCGGCTTCCTCGCCGAGGCCGTTCTGGACGCCCTGGCACCTCGCGCCCCCCCCCCCCCAACAAAAAAAAATACAGGGAGGGGGTCAGGGGAGGGGTAAACCCCCTCCCCATAGGGAAGAGTTTTTTTTCAAGAGGGAAGAGGAATCTCCTTAGACCACCTGTCGCCCAAAGGGCTGGTGGGACTCCAGCGCCTTGCTGCCGACCCTCGGGCACCCAGGAGTCGCGCTCACGCTTCGGACTCCCTCGCAGCTTCCTTAGGAATCGGGATGTCGCTGCCCTCCGTGGCCCCGTTGCAGCGTTTCGTGGCCCCCTCGCTGCCCCTCGTGGACCCGCTGCGGCCCCTCGTGGCCCCCCTCGGTGTTCCACGTGGCCCCGTCGCAGCCCTTCGTGGCCCCCTCGCAGCCCGTCGTGGCCCCGCATCGTGGCCCCATCTGCATGCGTTTCGTGGCCCCGCTGTCGCCCTTCGCGGCCCCCCCGCTGCCCTTCGTGGCCCCGTTGCCGCCCTCAGTGGCACCGTCCTTGCCCTCTGCGGCCAATATACGTATGCTTTTCGTGGGCCCCGCTCGTTGGCGCCCGTCGTGGTCCCATATTCGTGCCCTTCGTGGCCGCACTGTCGCCCTTTGTGGCCCCTTCGCTGTTTCATGTGGCCCCGTTGCTTCCCTCAGTGGCCCCGTCGTTGCCCTCTGTGGCCCCACATTATCTGCCTTTCGTGGCCCCCGCTCGTTCGCGCCCTTCGTGGCCCCATACGCATGCCCTTCGTGGCCCCGTCGTTGCCATTTGTGGCCCCGCATTATCTGCCCCCAGTGGCACTTCTTGGGGCTCGTTTGGGGGTTCTGGGAGGCCTCATGGGGGCATTTTGGCCCCCATAATTCAAAAAGAGGGGGGGTGGAAATTCACGTTCCCCCCTCGGAAGCTCAAACATGGCGTCTTGGGGCCCTCTTGGGCGCTATTGGGGTGCTATTGGGGCCCTGTTGGGTTTCTCTTGGAGCTCTCTTGGGCCGTCTTGGCCCAGCGTAGGCCTCAAGAGCCCATCAGAAGGGAAAAGGCGAAAAGGCAGACGCCATTGATGTTCCTTAGGGTTTGGAGCTATTTTGGCATCTTGGGGTGATTCTTGGAGGGCTCGGAGGGCTCTTGAAGCCGTCTTGGGGCCGTCTTGAGGCATTTTGGATGTTCGTCGGAGGCTATATTGGGCTCTCTGAGACCCTCTTGGAGCCACATTGGGTCATCTTGGACGCTCTAGCTACCCGCGCCCCCCCTCCCAGGCCCGGGGGAGGGGAGAGGGGGAGGGGTCAAGCTACCCACCCGCCTGCATGCCGTCTAGCTCTGAGTGCGCCGGGTGTGCCGCGCACTCCAGCCGCGCCAGGTGCGCCACGTTCGGGGCACGTGCAGAGTGCGTCAGGTGCGCCTGCGCACGTGACAGCACACATCAGGAAACATGTCGGCATCCGCCATCCTTGTCGAAAACCAATGCCCATCATTGTGTCTGGTGAGCCTGCGCACAGCAAGCCACGTCCCTGTCAAAAATCACTTGACAGTGATCGCGGGATGGCCGCGCATGATCCAGATTTAGTCGCGAGGTGCATGTTGTATTGCTTTTTTGTAAGGGGTGGTAGTCCTGCGCACAGCAGGGGATATGCTAGCACCCCCGCCGTTTCTGTTAAAAACAATACAGAGTGCTCGCGGGCCTCACGAACATGACTCAAGTCTTTAAACCAAAGTGTACTTTGCATTTTTTTGACAGGGATGGTGGGGGAAGGCCGCATCGAGTTGGCCCCGCATGCTCCAAATGTGGAGGCAGAATGCGGCTTGTATTGTTTGTTCACAGGGATGGTGAGAAGCAGGCCCGCATGGAGTCGGCTTGGTTCCGGGTTGGCCGCCGGCCGGGTGGGGGGAGCGGTGTATATTAATAAGGGACAGTGATCACGACACCCCCTAGATAGCAAGTCGTCTAGCTCACTCCCACCCGCCCTCCCAACACATTAGTAACACCCGAGCCTGAGCATGTTCAGCGGGCGTCTTTGGATGGACAGCTACTGGGAGCCAAAGCCGACCCCAGGTGCGCGACGCTGGGGCGAGGTGCGCCACACGTGCCAGGCGCGCCACGCGCGCCAGGCCCCCCTGGGGCCCGAGCGTGCCAGGCACGCCTGGTGCGCCAGATGCGCCACGTGCTCCGAGTGCGCCGGGTGTGCCGCGCACTCCAGCCGCGCCAGGTGCGCCACGTTCGGGGCACGTGCAGAGTGCGTCAGGTGCGCCTGCGCACGCGACAGCACGCAGCGGGAGACACGTCGGCCCCCGCCCTCCTTGTCGAAAGCCACTGCCCGTCACTGTGTCTGGTGAGCCTGCGCACGGCGGGCCACGCGCCGCCGCGCCCGCCGCGCCTGTCGGGGGCCACTGGACGGTGACCGCGGGGTGGCCGCGCATGAGCCAGATTTAGCCGCGAGGTGCATGTTGTACTTCAGCCACGCGCAGAGGGGGGTGAGGGGAGGGGGGAGGGCTTCTTAGAAGCACCCCTGCTTCTTAGAAGGCGCGGGCCTTATCTATAGATGGAAGGCCGGCGCCTTCTAAGAAGCAGCCTCCTTCTAAGAAGCCCCCCCCCTCCCTCCACCCCCTTGTGCGCGTCGCCAAGTATTGTTTTTTGTCAGGGATGGTAATCCGCCCTGCGCGCTGCAGGCAGTATGCTGACACCCCCGCCGTCCCTGTCAGAAACAAACCAGAGTGCTCGCGGGCCTCACGAACAGGATTCAAGTTGTTGCCCCAAAGTGTATTTTGTGTTGTGTTTGATAGAGATATGTGGGGGGGCCGCATCGGGTTGGCCGCGCATGCCCCAAATGTGGAGGCAGAGTGCATTTTGTTTTTGTTTTTCGACAGGGATGGTGGGGGGGGAGCATGGTTCCTGGTTGGCCGCCGGTCGCCTGGGTGAGGGGGTGTATACTGATAGGGAACGGTGATCAGCCCCCTTCCTCGAGCAGGGGAAGGAGGGAATTTGGCGGAGACAAGACACGACTCGTTAAACCACCAACGGCCAGAGGGCTGGTGGAATTGCAGTCTCCGCCCCCGGGGCTCGCACCCGGCTTCTATCCGCTGGAAAGTCCTAGTCGTCAGACTGGCTTGTCGGCCCCCGGTTTACAACAATAACGGTTCCCGCCAGACTTTCTTTCAACATGTATTGGGGACACGGGCTTTCGCTCCAGACTTCCCGGCAGCTTATCCAGGAATCGCGCTCTCGCCTGAGACTTCTTTCCACTTCCTACATTCCCCTTCTCCTCGATCTCAACCTTTTCCCTCCTTTCTGTTACTCCTGTTTTCAGGGCTGCAGGGAAGGAAGATACCCCCCAAAAGAGGTCCGATCGAAGATGAAGAGGGCGGGTAGCGAGGGCCTGGGATGTACATGGTGAGTGGCACGCAAGCATATGAAAGCGAACAAGCTTGAAATGACTGCTATTGTTGTTGGTGGTGTTGTTGGTGGTGTTGTTGGTGGTGTTGTTGTTCACGTCGTCCCACCCACGACCCACGCCGCGACCCACCCCCCGCGACCCACCCCGCGATCAACCTCGCGCGACCCCGCCACCACTCCACGACCCACCCGCCACCAACCCATGTTCTCTTAACCAGAAGATCGTTGCCTCCGGCGGGGTCGCTGTGCAAGGTGTAAAACATGGGCGGCTGCGGCGGGTTTTTTTTTCTCCTGCCGATCCTCCCAGACTGCCGACGACCCCCCCCCGCCGCCTCACTCTGATGCGCAGCTGCGGGGGCCTGTGTACTCCGGATTCCATAACAAAGTGGGGGGGGTCACATTCGGGGGGGGGTCTAATTTGAGCTGTCTTGGAGGGTTCGGGGGGGTCCGGGCAAAGGGCCGCCCTTTGATGGATAGTCTGGGGGGTCTAAAACTTCTCGTCTGGGAGGGTTGTGACCCCCTCCCTTTTTATTACGAAATCTGCAGTATATTTCTGGGGGTTCTTCAGGAGAGGCGCCCGTGCTTGCCGGTGCCGCCGCCTTCTACGGCGCCCCGGCCTCGCCGGCGGCGCTGGGCTGCCCGCCCACGGTGCCCGAGGATCGAGCGACAAGAGAGTCAGGGGAGAAAAAAACACGCAGACACAATTAATCGTCGATTCCCAAGAAAATATGGGAAAATATGGGACGTGGGGGGGAGGACAAAAACCCAGAAAAGATGGGAAAATATGGGGGATATGTTTATTTCTGTGTATTTATTTGTGTGTCCTGGGGCCCCTTTGAAGAGAAGGCATCAGCATGAGCTTTCGGTTCCGCGCGGAGTTCCGAAAGTTTTTTGTTTATGCCACTTTGTGCTCCTCCGGAAGAGGACGCAACCACAGCTGGCCTTCGCGTCGTCTGCTCGAGGATCAGCGCCGACGGGAACGGCTGGATCTCCAAGCTGCAGCTGATCCAGGGCATGCAGCGCGACCCGGAGCTGGCGCAGCTGGTGCTACCCGGTGTGGACAGCGGCTCCCTGCTGAGGAACGAGGCCGCCTTCGACGACCTGGACGCCATCTTCGTGACCATCGCGGGCGGGAAGTCGCGCATTAAGCAGTCCGATTTGGTGGCCTACCTTCGCGGGGCTTCGGAGGAGCAGCCGTCGCGGCCGCCCTGCGTGCTGCAGCGCCTCTTCAGCCTCATCGACGCCGAGGGCACCGGATCCGTCTCCAACTTAGCTGTCCCGATACGCAACACGCACCACGTGGCGCGTTGACATGACAATCCACACGTAGACTGAAAATGTAGGTCTGGCGTGATACGTTCCCCAAACGTGGGCCAACACGTTCCGAGTCAACACGCAGCGTGTTGACACTGACGTTTTGAGCACGGTACGTGTTGCGATTCAACACGGGCGTATCGGGGCAACTAAGGTCTCCAAGCTGCAGCTTATCGACGCAGTGAGGAAGAGCCCAGAGGTGGCAAGCCTCGTCCTGGCTGGCGTGGACGGCAGCCTGGTGGGCAGCGACGAGGATCGAAGGAAATAATGGTGCAATTTGTCAGACGTTCGCGCGGATGCCTTGGATCGTCGTTGGACCCCTTTGACAGCGTCCAGCGCCGCCCCTGGCGCGATCCGTGCGCTAGGGGGGGCGATCCAGCGCTGATCCAAGATATCCGCGCGGACCTCCGACAGCCGAGTCTTTTTATTCAGGTTTTTGTTCCTCTAAAGGACGCCTTCGATGCCGTGGACCGCCTCTTCGAGGCAGTGGGCGGCGGCAGAAAGAGGATCAGCTTCGCCAGCTTCCGGGACTACTTCCACAGCGCCGCGGCGGTGCAGCCCCCAGTGGCGCGCACCTACACCTCCGTGCAGAGGGAGCGCAGCAGCATACGCGTCTTCCTGCTGGACCCCGGCGGCCTCTATCAGATGGCAAACCGCCCGGTGGTGGAGCAGGCAGGCTTCCAGGTGTCGGGCTGGGCGAAAGGGGGGGATTGGGAAAGGGGGGGTTACGAAATTTGCTGCATGAAGCTGGTTTCGGCCTCACCGAGGGGCCCATTCCTCGATACATAGCCGCCTCGGGCGCCGGGAGGCGCCGGGAAAATCAGCTACGTGAGCTGATTTTCAAACCCCCCCTTTGCTATCCCCCCCTTTCGCCCGACCCGAAGGTGCACTGGTGCACACGGTTCCCGCCGATCGAGCCAGCAGCCCCGTTTCCCTGGCAGCTGATGCCGGAGCTCAAGGGCGAGGTCGACAGCGTGCAGCCGCACGTGCTGATGTGCGCCTCGAAGGCGGCCATCTACGGCTTCGGGCTCTGGCAGGCGGGGGCCTGGCAGGGCCCGACCGTCCTGATCAACCCACACCCGGTCTGCCAGAGGTTCCCCCCGGGCATGCCGGTGGTTCTCGCTCATGGCGGCATCGACGAGACCTTCAAGATCCCGAGGGTGGACCTCGAGAAGATAGTCTACGCCGACCCCGACAGCAAGTCGTTGCTATACTACGTGGGCCAGAACCTCCACCTCGGCTCCACCCTCAAGAAGTACGACTGCCTCGGGCGGCTGGTGGACGCCGCCGTGTGTCCAGACGGCCCGGAGACGTACATGATGCGCAGCTGGCGGGAGCGCAAGGCCCCGGAGCGGATCGAGGCCGAGCGCGCGCTGGGCTGCACCCTGGAGCAGGTCAGGCTCAGGAAAGCAAAAAATTCAGGAGGGACAACAAAAACACACAGACACCATTAATCGTCGATCCCCAGGAGAATATGGAAAAATATGGGAAGTGGGGGGGAAGACGAAAACCCAGAAAATATTTGGAAGTACGTCTTTGTTTTATGTGTGTGTGTGTATTTATTTGTGTGTCCTGGGCCCCCCTCAGACATGTCGATGCCGCTACCCTTCCCTCGCCACCGCGGCTGGATTCCCTTCGAAATGGCGGCCAGACGGCGCCCCGGAAGAGGTCCGTGGAGTAGCGGCGTGGGTATTTGTTTGTGCCCAGGGCGTCGAGCGCATCGCTCCAGAGCGCTCTGAAAGCACTCCCGGAGCGCCCTGCAGCGCCCGGGGATGGCCCCGGCGACCGATCCGACTGAAAATGCACGAACATGGGAATTTCGGAGGTCCGAGCGGGTATTTTGGATGTGCGCCGGAGGTCCTCGAAGTGTGCTAGATCGAGTGTCCGATCCAGCACACTTCGAGGACGACTGCGTGGACTTCATGACCTCGCAGTAGCCTGCCTGCAATTTTCATATCTCAGAGGGGTGTGTCTCATTGCATGTTTTTCCTCAGAATTTGCGCGGACCCGCGAAAGCCAGCATGTCTACAGCTTTCGCTCCTTCTCCGTCAACCGATCTATCTGCTTGGGCCCCGTCGGTCGTCCAGAGACCCCCGATGCAAGTATTCGGGCGCCAGCGGGAATATCTCAAGGGAGGAAGACCACCCGGACTGGGCAATATTTGACGCGTCTTGAACGGCCCTGGGCGTTTACTGAACAGCCCTGCCCTGTTCGATTCCTTCCGTGGGTGCGTTTACGAAACCGCTATGCGGGTGGAATTTCTGCCCTCTGACATCAGTCACCACCCACCAAACCACCCCAACCCAACCCGAAGGCTCACATCTACCCTCGATTTCCAGTGGGGGGGGGGGGGGTCGGGAACCACAGAAAAATACACACGTGGAACCCCACCCCCCCCCCCTCACCACCTACCAGACCACCCCAACCCAACCCGAAGGATCAGATTTACCCTCGATTTCCAGTGGGAGGGGGGTCGGGGAACGTTGAAAAAACACATGGAACCCGTACCCCCCCCAACCCGAAATTCGGGTCAAATTCGGGTCTTCGGGTTGGGTTGGGGTGGTTTGGTAGGTAGTCACCCCCAGCCCGAAATTCGGGTCTCCGGGGTGGGGTTGGGGTGGTCTGGTATAGGTAGTCCATCCGCCGATCGCCACCGTTTTCGGGGCGCCGCGGTCGGCATATTCTCCGGGGGCGCGCGCCGAGGGCCGCGCCTGCCGCGCAACGGGGGGGGGGGCCAGGGGGGGGGGGGGGGGCCGGAGCGCTCCCCCGTGCCCCGTGCCGCCGCTCTCGGCCTCCTATATGTAGTCAGGGGGGGAAGAAACACACAGACGCAAGGAGTCGTCGACTTCCAGGAAGGTATGGGAAAATCTGGGAGGTGGGGGGGGGGACAAAAACTTAGAAAAAATGGAGGAAAAGATTGGGAATCCTGTTATTTGTGTGTATTTATTTGTGTGTCCCAGGGCTCCTATAATTAGATGGGGTCGGAGCAGGTGGGGTCGGAGGATCGCGCGCGCCGCGTCTTCGGTGCATCGGCGGTGCTTCTCGGGGGTGGGCAGACCTCCTACCCTGACACGTCGATTAGTGAATTGGCCGTTTTCGGTTCGCGAGGGGGCGTCGCGGCCGTCATTTTTGCGGGTCCGGGTCCGTCGGTTTCGGTCCCAGGCCGTTTTCACTAAGGGGAGGTCTACTAAAGGGAGGTTTGTCCACCGCCGAGCTTCTCGATGCGGCACCCGATTCTACCCACGCCGACGTCGTCGATGCATCGCTGGCGTCGCTGGTGCATCGCCGATGCACGGGCGATGCATCGCCGACGTATCGGCGATGCGGCGTGGTCCTCCGACCCCATCTGCTCGGACCCCATCTATAGGAGGCCTCCGGTCGCCCCCCCCCCATGAGCGCCGCCGGCGGCGAGCGCTTCGGGGAGGAGATGCGACGTTGAGGAGCCCCAGGCCCCGTCTTTCTGCGGCGGCTGCCGCGCCGGATGGATACAGTGGGGGCCCATGCCAAGACATACCCTGCATGCCTCCAGGTTGATCGGGGGTGGACAGACCTCATACCCTGACACGTCGATTAGTGAATTGTCCGTTTTCGGTTCTCGAGAGGGCGCCGCGGCCGTTATTTTCCAGGCTTGCGCCCGCCAGGTTTGGGCCCGAGGTCGTTTTCGCTAAACCACGTTTTACTAAAGGGAGGTCTGTCCATCCCCGAGTTGTCCCAGGTTTCTTGGGTGTTTCGATGGGTCTGCGATGGAGTGCGCGACGCTCCCAGGCACTGTCTGGGGGCGTCACGCTGTCCGGCGGCGGCCCCCCGCAGCGTCTGTTTTCGCAGCGCCTTCGAAGTGACTCATTCAGGGCGCTCGAATTCAGTCGGCCGGATTCCGCGGTTGCCCGCTGGCATGAAAAATCTTCCGAGTGGCGCCCCGCCGATCGTTGCTGTGGCGCGGCAGCGCCGGCCTGCGCGACTGCGTTGGGTCCCCACGGGCGCCTCCGAAGCCGCGCACCAAAGGTCACTCTAGCCCTAGGGTCACTCCTGCGCGTAGCCGAGACACAAAAAAACAATGGACGCCCTGGGGTCTCAGGGTTGGGTTTCTTGTGAAAGCCCCCCCGCGGACTGGCCCATGCTGTGCGTGACGGCGCTTTCAGGGCCCGAGGCCCGGCCGAAGACGCCCAGGGTGAAAGTGCTGCAGCTTCCCGATCTCTCTCAGGGCAGCGTCGGGCCGCTGGAGGAGAGACGCCTGCTTTTCAAAAGGGGCTCGGTCGTTCCTCGGGTTCGCGTGCGTTCCGCGCATTTTTGGGGGCGGCGAGCCCCTCCTCCCCCTTCCCCTCCTACTCCTCCTCCCCTCCTCCTCCTCCTCCTCCTCCTCCTCCTCCTCCTCCTCCTCCTCCTCCCCCTCCTCCTTCCCCCCCCCCTCCTCCTCCTCCTCCTCCTCCCCCTCCTCCTCCTCCCCCTCCTCCCCTCCTCCTCCTCCTCTTCCTCCTCCTCCTCCTCCTCCTCCTCCTCCTCCTCCTTATCCTCCTCCTCCTCCTCCTCCTCCTCCTCCCCCCCGTGTGTTCCTTGGGTTGTCGTGGATCCACTTGGAGCACAGGGGCCTCGTTCTGTACCTATCGCTCCCGTGGGTCAGCGGCCCGACCGTATCCCCCCCACGGGCCCTCGCGCCCGATGGTGCTTCGCGACCCCAGCCTCGCCCCGGCAGGTTCGGGTATGGCCATGGACCCCAGGTAAGGGGACCCGGTTAGTGGTAGGGCCCCGGGGCCTTTGAATTGGCCAGAATCACTAAACCAGGTCTGCCGTAGTTGGTGTTTTTCGGGTGACGGCAGTTCGGGTTAGTAGCAATGGGACGGGGGGGCGCCCCCGGTACAGATCATTGAACCAGGTTCCACTAAACCCAGTTCAGCCAACGCCCGACAGGTTCAGGGAAACGCAAGACCCGAGTAAGCCGGAACTCGGGTTTGCCAAGGTTTTTTTGACGAGCGCGTCCTGGATTTTGACGGTCCAGTTTTCGTGGGATGTCTGCAGCGGGAGCTCGCGTCAAATTTCAAATTGGGCCTCGTAATTTTTATGATGGCCCCGTCGGGCCAACCCGAGTCCCCCGTACCCGAGTCTTACGTCTCCCCGACAGGTGCGCAAGCGCTGGGCGTCCCAGGGGCAGCGAGGCCGCGACAGCCAGACGCTCTACGACGTCCCGGCGGACAGCGAGGACCGCCGCCGCGGGGGGCCACCCTCGGGGGGCCAGGGGCCGCAGCCCGAGGGGGGCCCAGGCCGACCTCCGGCCCTCGACCCTCGACCCTCGATCCTCGATCCTCGACCCTCGATCCTCGATCCTCGACCTCGACCCTCGACCCTCGACCCTCGACCCTCGACCCTCGACCCTCGATCCTCGACCCTCGACCCTCGATCCTCGATCCTCGACCCTCGATCCTCGATCCTCGATCCTCGAGGGTCGAGGACAGCGAGGACCGCCGTTGCGGGCCAAAGAAGCAGCCGAACAGCGGCCAACACCATCGCCATTGTCAGAATCGTCGAAGGAGCGGCCAAGGCGGCCACGAGTCAGCCGACCTCGGCCACAAGGTGGCCATGAGTCAGCCGACCTCGGCCAGCTGTTTGGCGCCAGGTGTGTCTGCTCAGCCTCTCCTGGCACTGAGGGGGCCTCGGGCGCGCGCGCGCGCGAGCGGGGGGAGGGGAAGGGGCGAGGAGCTGAGGGAGGGCGAGGACCTGAGTCAGGCGATCGCAAACATTGATCAAGGGGGCGTGGATTAGCGACGGGTCTCGGTCCATGGGATATCGCGGACTTCCGCCGCCGAACGAGGCGGCACCGGCCGCATTTTGGGGAGGGCACCTCCCCCGATCCAGGGATTTGGCGACCGCGCGCCAAATCCACGCATCGCTAATCCATACTTGCGCGCTCCCGAAGCAGGGGCCGCCGCGTCGCGTGCAGGATCGCGAGGGGCAGCAGCAGCGGGGCGAGCTGCCCGAGGCCATGGATCTCTGCCGCCACGGCGCCAGGAGTCGGAGGCCAGAAGGCCCTCGCCAGTGCCCCTGTCCTTGTGTCCTAGGTCTTGCCCTTGCTTGCCGAAGAGCCTGAGCCTACACAATGCTCATCTCTAGTTCTTCGAAAGTTCTTTGATTTTTTGGGGGGCCAAGATCCTTTCATTTCTAATAGTTCTATCCTGGGCCTCTTCCTGGCGACTAGGGGGCCAGGAACAACCAGAAACGAGCACAATTCGAAATGCGCACGATTAGAAATGAACGACGTGTAGGCTACCAAGAGCCCGTCATCGGCGGGAGCGTGTGCGCGGCTCTGGCCCGCCTATCCTCCGCTACGTGCTTGCCCTTCGGAATGACCAGGACGCCGCGGATTCACAGGAGGCTCCCTCTCTAGAGTGGGTGACGATGCAGGAGGGAAAAAACACACAGACACACTGAATCGTCGACTCCCCAGATAATATGGGAAAATATGGGAAGTGGTGGGGAAGACAACAACCCAGAAAATATTGGAAAAGATAGGGCATATGTTTATTTGTGTGTATTTATTTGTGTGTCCCAGGGCCCCTTCAACGATGCAGGAACGCGAACAGCGCTTGCAGCCAGAGACACATCACGAGGAATGTCAGTGCCTTTGGCTGGCCATCTCCACAAGGCACCCCATGATGTGCGCGAGCGACGTCGCCCGCCTCGACCGCCAGGCGAAGGGTCTCGGCAAGCCGCGATGCGCGGCAATCTCGATGCGCCAGACTGCGCGTTCCACGAAGCAACACCTGCACGGCGCGCGCATTCGCCCGGTTGGCCTGAGAGACGAGGACGGCGAAAGATTAGGTATGAGATGCGATGTTGATGATGATGGTGATGTTGATATTGGTGTTGTTGTTGGGAGTGATGTGATGACGACGATGGCGTTGACGATGATTATGATGATGATGATGATGATGATGATGATGATGCTGATGCTGATGCTGATGATGATGCTGATACTGATGCTGATGGTGATAGCGATGAAGATGATAGTGGTGAGACTGTTGATGATGAGGCTGATGAGGATGATGAGGATGAGGATTATGATGATGATGCTGATAATGCTGATGCTGATGAGGATGATGGTAATGATGGTGGTGATGATGATGGTAATGATGACGATGCTGATGATGATGGTGATGATGACGATGATGGTGGTGATGGTGGTAGCGATGATTATATCGAGGTTGATAGCGAGGATGGTGATGATAAGGTTGGTGGTGATGACGTTGGTGAAGAGGATGTCGACGATAACGACGACGATAACGATGATGATAGTAACGACGATGACGACGACGGCCATGGCGACGACGACGACGACGACGACGACGGTAAGGATGACGACGACGACGACGACGGTGAGGGTGACGTCGACGAGGACGACGAGGACGAGGACGAGGACGACGACGACGACGACTACGTCGACGATGATGATGATGATGATGATGATGATGATGATGATGATGATTATGATGATAATGATGATGATGATGAAGATGATGATGATGATGATGATGATGATGATGATGATGATGATGATGATGATGGTGATGATGATGATGGTCATGTGGCTGCTGCTTCTATCGATAATGCTGCTTCTGCTGATGTTGATGGTGACGACGACGACGAGGAGGGTAGCGAGGTTGGCCGGCCCAACGCGGCAGCCGCCCAGGAGTTCGCGCACGTCGTGCGGGCGTTCTGCGCTCGCCCGCCGGAGCCAGCCTCGTACCCGGGGCGCCCCGACAGCAAGTTCGACCAGGCGGCGGGGCTGCCAACGTCCTGTAGTTCTCCTCCGTATCCCAACATGGGGTACTCCATATTCGTGTGATGTCTATCCCCTTCCCTCCTTCCTTTCCCCCGCCCTCTTCCCCATCGCCCACACTCAGGCCCACTCACACCCAGACTCAGACTCCCTTCGTTTTCAGGTTCGCGGACGCACTCAGATCCACGGACACCCAGACTCACTGACACTGAGACTCGCTAGCATTCAGGCTCAATGATTCTCAGACTCGCTCGCGCACAGATTTCTTCTCACGCAGATCCAGCCCTACGCCCGGAGGGAGGGCCGCCACGGAGCTCCTCACTCGCCCGCTCGCGGCCGGACATCGTGGGGATGCCTCGAGCGAGCTGGTCGCTTTGCATCTCCGACTCCCCTGCTTCTCATGCGGTCTGTGGGGACGCCTCGAGCGAGGCTCTCGAGGGTGTGCTGCACGGGCCCGTCTGCTACCAGATTGCGTGGTTTTGTCGAGCGAGGCGCTCGTTCTGCGCCTCCGACCCCTTTGTATTCAGAGCTCCACGATCACCACGACGTAGCAGGCAAAGGGTCCCTCAGACAGAGTCGCTCACAGGGGGAAGCATCAGGAAATAAGAGGCACATATGGAGATCTCCGTGCCGAATCATTTTTGCATTGGGGGATGGTGTATTCCCCTCCCCCAATTTCTTTTCACATCTCTTGTCGTCTTCGTCGTTTGGTCTTGAGCCGCCATCGTTCTCGTCTTCGTCGTCGAAGCCTTCGTCAGTTTGCTATTTTCTGCATCGTACGTTGTCGGCCTCGTGATTCACCACGCGACGCCAGAGTGCGCATTCCGTTGTCCACTCGCATGCTCGATGATATTCGTGCCGCTCGGCTCGACATGCTCTCTGGTGTTTCGTTTCTTTTCATGTCTTCTTGACGGAAATGCGCAGCGCGGCCATGCCGCTTCTAGTTCGCAGCGGAGCACGACGCATGGCCAGCGCGCGGCCTCCTCGTGACGACCAGGGCTCCGCGGCAATCGCACTTCCTGTCAGTTGTCGCCCTGTGGCTGGCCGTGAACTGGTGACCTCGCGCGGCCTCTTGCGCCCGCGCCGGGTCCGAGGGCGCAGGACACTTGTCCGTTCTGACAGTGTACAGTCATCGGTTAATCATTGATGTTTTTGGTGAATTTTAAATAGCCATCAAATAATGGTCATCATATGGTCAACCGTCATCGGTCAGTTGTCATCGGACATTTGTCATCGTAAAAAAACAGAGTGCGGAGTCCTGGTCAATCGTCGTCGGTTCTTGGGGATGTTTGTTTGCTTGCTTTGTGCTTCCTGTGCTTCTGCCGCCTCCTGCTTGCCGTCCGCTGTGTCCTCCCTCCTCTTTCTCCACTCTACTTCCGCTCCTGCGCTCTTGACGTGGTTTCGTGCGACATCTCTCCAGCTTGCCCGGTGGCAGTCTGTCTCACGCCGTGAAGGTATCGGGCGATGGGACATGACATTCAGCACCGGCGTTGGTAATTACACCCGTTGTCGAGCCAGTTTTGATGCGTCACAATTCCGCTAATCTCCGCTGAATTCCTCTTGATCTTGCCTAATCTCAGGAGAGGAAAGAACAGACAGACACAATTAACCCTCGATTCCTCAGGAAATATAGGAAAATATGGGAAGTGGGGGGGAAGACAGAAACCCAGAAAAAATAGAAAATATGGGGAATCTTTTTATTTGTGTATATTTATTTGTGTGTCCTGGGGTCCCTTCATAATCGGGCTGAATCCCAGGCGGCTTGGTCCAGCTTGGTGGCCTCCTGCGCGGGCCCAGCAGCGCTGAGCCCTTCGGACGAAGACCTCCCAGGACTTGCCCTCCCGAGGGTCTCACACCTTCTCCTGCGTACTCTAAATCCCAAATCCCTTCTTAATCGATCCCCCCTAAAAAAAAGCTGGGCCCCCCTCCAAGTGCGCCTTAATAAACCAGACCACGAAGCTCCAATCCAAAGGAAGCGCCCTGATAACCCCCCCCCCCAGTTACAGAAAAGGCGCCTTAACAAACCGGACC